ACGACCTGGTGGTGTTCCACGAGGTACACTGGTCAGCCTGGCTCTGGTGGCTACTGGCTCAACCTGTCCTCATCTATACTTGATGCTTAGAAAGTTAGGAATTACTGTGCTGTGGTGATTTTTAACCAGCGACTCAGTAGCCTCATCTCCTTCCAGGACTTGAGAATTATAGAAACAGAGTCATCACAGGCAGTTGCAGTGGGAGAAGTAGAACTTAATGATGAAGACAGGCAGATCTGCCTCGCCCATTTATTTCAAGGATTGCTGAATCTCATATCTAGAGCAGACATTGACCTCAGCCTTTATTTATGGAGGATGGACAAGGTCTGCCTGAATTCTGTGATACAGCAGCCTCCAGGGTGTCAGGAACCCCTTGTGTCCCAGGATGCATGACTACAAGGACACCTGACCCCCTTTATGAGCTTCTCAAGCTCCACAGTCACCCACACATTGCTCAGAGAAATGAAAACTGGACCCACCTTGAGACTGTAAGGAGAGCATGGGCCAAGCAGAGCAGAGGGTAGGTCACTTCCCAGCTCTGGGCCTAGACTTCCTGAGATGCTGCTTCCATTTGGCACAGGGTAAGTGTTTACCAATGTGAATCCTCCGTCTCGGGACTGAGCCCAGGTGCTTAGCACACTTATTACAACGGTGGTTCACAAAGTGTTGTCCCTGGACCACCACCGGCAGCATCAGCATCTGGGAAGTGGTTAGAAAGGTAAGTCTTGGCCTGAGTCAGAACCTCTAGGGGCAAGGCCCATCAACCTGGTGAGGCCTTCCAGGTGACGCTGATGCACATTCAACTTTATACATTGGTTTTGATAAAAGAGGAAATTCATATGACCCTGTCAAGAGATAAAGTAGGTAGATGTTGCCTAGCATGGTATTTGGCACATAGCAGATACTAAATAATTGAATAAATAAAGAAGTCCATGCTTCTGCTCACTCACCCCTTACTCATACAAACAGGACTTCTGGGAGAGACTGGAGGAATCTAGGATTGGATAAGACCTGAGTGAGAAGGAAAGGTGGGCCACAGCTTGAGTGAGCATCATTAGCTCAGGGAAGAAGAAATCTCAGTATTACTTTATCAGTGAAGGATTTTATGTTTGGTAAAAGCAAATAGCCTTGAACTGTACCTTGAATGTTTTGGTGCAGTTTACATTAGAGCTAGCAATCTGGTTCTGCCCTCTTGGTCTTTCCACTGAACCCCTTCCAACACTCCTTGGTAGGTGGTGCCATCAAAAACATTTTGCACATGCTGGTGCTAGCAATGTCTTTATGCTGCCAGCCAAGTCCAGCTTTTCCATTTGTGGAGCCATCTCAATTCCTTTTTCCCTGGAGTCCCCTCCTCTCACCCTCCCTCCCCCACCCCAGACTTCTGTAGGCTCTTCCAGTTTGGCCTTGTCTCCATCTTGGCAACAGAAGAAGCATTACTGACAGGTTACAGCTCTGATGGCATTTTATGAGCAAATCAGACATACAGAGGGACCTATTGGGACACCTCAGGTAAGGTACCTGGCAGTAGCTGGGTGCAGTCTCCTCACTTGTTCAGCAGTTTCCTCCCAGCCTTAAATTTTCTAGCTCTCAGTTGCACTGTCCACATTTGTCACATGAACTAATCAATAAGGCCCTATCCTTTCAGAGGATGTGTGACTTCAGGCATAGGGTCCAGTGGCAGGCCATGACACTCCTGCCTCCACACTAACGCAGACCCAGCTGAATGACCTCAGGGATCCATGCACATCTGGGCGTGTCCTACAACCTCTTGCTCTTGTGATAGTGTGATGTTAATATTTTGGTTTTAAGAGGAAAAGAAGTTGTTTTACAGAGATTTCATTTTAAACCTTGCTTTATTGTGAGGTCACTCAGCGCCATTGGGAATGGGTCAATGGTAGTGGGGTCACTGGCCAGGAAGCTGAGGGGCAGCACCAGCCAAATGGTCTTGAATCAGGCAGTCTTGGGTATCATAGTTGATAAGACATGGGTGGCCATATTAATGACCAATCCTGAGCCTGTTTTTCTGAGGCATCAATTGGGTAATAAGTTGCCAGATTCTTGTGAGGCTGAATGAGAGGCCACGTCTAAACAGCATGGTGCTCTATATGTAAGGAGTCATTAATGACACTAGCTCCTCCCACCACACCCCAAAGTCATCACTACTGAGTACCATCCACCCCAGTCCAAGCACGGAGCCCCACCCAGGGGTGACCGTCTCAGACTGCTTCCTCTACCCCCATAATCCAGAAATTAAACAAAGGAGTTCTAGGCTTTTAGGGTGACTCAGAAAATTTCCCAGAAACTGAAAATGCCAGAAGAATAAGATAGAACTATTATAGGACACCCCATTTTCATCAAGAAATGGAAAAGGAGCAGTGTGATGAGAGAAAATTGAAGGGGAGAAAGAAAAATGAGGAATCTGGTATTGAGGAAAAAAAGGCATTGGGAGCCTTATCGAGCCCAATATGCTTTATGAGTACTTATTTTGTTATTAACTCATATCCTGTTATCTTCCAGAACAGATTAGTCATGGCAAACCAAGCACTAAATTTGCAGACCCATTTCAGATATCCCAGCCATCCACAGCAACTTGAAAGGAATTGCAGAGTCCCGGTACAAAAATGATAAAGGACCACTCCCCTCCCCTCACCTGATCTCTGCTAAGAGTCAGGGCCATGTGCCCAGGGCAGCTGTTCACACACATGTGCCAGGACCATTTAGAGCACCTCAAAGGAAATGCTCAGCAGACGCTGCTGGGCTCCACCCAGGTACCCTCAGGACCCCCTACCTATCTGTTCTGGGCAATCTCTTACCAGTCGTTTTGTCTCCAGTAGTTGCCACTGCAGCCTTCTTCAGAGGCTGCCTGAGCTTCTGGAACTACTGTGGCTGCCTGTGCAGAGGACCAGGGACCTGGACATTTCCATCCCTCCCCGCCCAGCTCCATCTCCCTGGGGGCAGCCTAGGGAAAGGTCTGAGCATCCAGCTCCCTTGTCAGGGCAAGATTAATCCTGAGGTATAATTAAGCTCCAGAGCTTTCCACAGGATCCAGGTGAGACTGGGATGCTTGGTTTCTTGCCCTCCAGTCCCGTTTTACCTGCTCTGCACCTGTATCTCCTGGGAGCACTTCCTCATAAGTCCCTTGTGCAGAGCCCAGGTCTCCGGAGCCCAACCTAAGACAGACACCTTGGGCTCCTTTTCTCCTTCTAAGTCTTCTCCTGGAGGACTGCTCATGGTTTCTCGATATCCTCCAAGTAAGACTGGGGGCCTTGTCTTCCTCTCAGATCCCGGTCAAAGGACTGTTAGACACCTGCTCCAAATTGTACCGATTCTCTTCAGAAATTCCGGTTAATCAGCTTTGGGCACTAGAGCTGTAAGGTGATGCCAACTCAGGGATAATGGAGCCATTTGGGAAAGGCTGTTTTGGGATGGGCCACTGACAAGGAAACAAGGTGGTCCTTCTACAAACATGCACAGGGAGAAGCAGACATTCTATTCCTTCAGGAGCCCCTGGACCTCGGGAGAGACGCCTGACTGCTTTTGTTGAATCTCCTGCTGAACTTCCTCAAGTGAAAAGTCTGTGACCGGGCAACCATAGGGGTTCCTTTGATGTCTCAGACTTCTCCCAATCACTCACTGCCCCCTCTGAAGCTAAGACTATGAGGAAGCTCCGTGAGGCTACTGTGCTGCCTGGGCCAAGTCCTGCCAGGATGAGCCCAGAGTGGGAGCTGTGGGCCAGAGTGGGTGGGCAGGATCCCAGAAGACAGAGGAGCAGAGATAAGAGAGTGTGGAGATGGTCTCACGGGGGACTCAGCTGGTTCTGAAGAAGACTGTGTTCCCCAGCAGCCACCCCGATGTCATGCTTACAGATGGAGACCCATCAATATTTTGGAATGGGTTAACATTCAGTTTTCAAGATACCACTGTACCTTTAATTTATTAGCTTTCCATAAAAACACATAACATATACAATCTACAGTATAGAAAGTATAATTTACAAAAATATAAAAATATTGGTTATTTTTTAGTATTCCAACATATTACTGCATGTGTTATTTCAATAAGCATGTTTAAACAATGCACACTTAACCAGCATGATTACCTCTGTGGGGAATGGTTACAACTCCCTACCTTTTGTTTTAAAATAAAATGCATATTAAGAAAAAGAAATCAAATATATGTGCATATTTTACGTATAAAAGCTTTTGCAGTGGAGTTTGAAAGAAAACACCCATTTATATCATTATTTAGGCCCTGTTTTCCAGTATCAATAAGTGGCCTGAAGTGTTTTAAACTGATTGTTTAAACAAGGTTCTTTCCACACAAAAAGAGAGGGTGCCCTCAGCTTTGCAGTCTCCTTCGTAGGTTACGAGATGATGATCACAAAAGCCACATTGTGGACATGTTCAGTTTGCAGGCCTTCAGAGCAGAGGGCACAGGTGATGGGCAGCCTTCAGGCCAGGACTGATTCCCAGATTCCTTCAGGGGATTCAAAATGCTGTTTTAGAGACTAAGTCAATGAAAAACCCAGATTGATGCCCTAGGAAACAGATGCTCCTGGGATGCAGCAACGTTGCCTGTGAGCGCTGCCCTGTGTTTGCAGCTGCACCACAGTCAATCTCTCACTCCAGGGCCTCTGAGGACGCTGCCCTGTGGGGCATGGGGTGGAGGTTTCCTTCCATCCTGGAGTGGCTGGTCTTACCGGCAGGCACACGTCTCCACGGACATGTTTGGGTACACCTTCAGAACCACGTTCCGGTTCTCATCTAAGAAAAGGACCCCAAGGGAGTTCATCTTGTCGGGAACACAGCAGGGCTCTGGGATGCCTGGGACGATGCCCACGGCCCTGACAATGCTCTGGATGGTGGCGTGATTGGATGGGCGGACGATCTGCAAGGCAGGAAAGGAGCATGGTTACCTGGGTGCTCTGCCCTCACCTACCCACTGTGCCATCTGCATGCCCTTGACTCAGGCCTCAGAAAAGGCATCAACCTAAAAGAAAAGGTGAGATCCCAGGGTTGGTACCCCTTTTCTCCCAAGTCAGCCACAGACTGAGTCCCCAGGAGGTGTGCAAGAGCCTCAGGCCTTCCTGAGGGAAGCCACATCCCCTACATGGCACTGGGCACTTGGGGGCACCTGCGCCTCACACATCCAGAGGAGCACCTAGAACTGGGTGGGAGTGTTTAGAGGGAAGGCTGAGGGAGGTGCCTAGCCAGTTCTGCCCGGGGCCACAGATGCCCCGGTTTCACAATCTGAGGAATTCAGACACGCTTCCATATGGTCGTGTTCTCAGCACTGAAGGGGAAAGCCTGCACATTCGTGTGCGTCAGTGTGATGGGGCTGGAAACTGACATTTTCCAGGTGGGTCTGACTGCAGGTGTCAGGTGATGCTTCACCTGTGAAACCCCATTTTATCATCATATCAGTCTTATGGGGTTGGTATTACCTTAATTTCACTGGTGAAAAAATTGAGGCTAAAAATTACTAAAAACTTGACCAAGACCCCTCAGTTCGCATAGCCAGGCTTGGAAACCATGCCTGTTGGGGCCACACTGGTTCTCTTCTCCTCCACAGGCAGCCTTTCACATCCAGAAGGGTCCCAGTGGCAAGCACAGAGAATGCCATTCCTTAAGCACCTCTGACAAGATGAACAGGACCAAGCCGCATGCACTTCAGTGCATCACCAACCAAAGAGA